AAAGGTTTAGTCCACAGTTGCTCAGGCTGGTTGCTTTGGGCCTGCAGCAGTATGGAGGGTCGTGGTGGGAATGTACCCCATAGGAGGCTGGTTACCCTACAGACATGGGAAATAAAAGGTGTTTCCTACATTCTCTCCATGGGGAGACCAGTGACCTAACTTCCTCTTACTAGGTTCCATGTGTAAGGATACCACTGTCTCCTCATTGTGCCATTGACTGGCAGCCAAAGCTTTACCATCTGAGCCTTGGGGAGACATTGAAGTTTCAACCATAACAGAAGTCAGATGAGAGACTGGTCCAGAGTGAGTTCTGAACCCCACCTCCACAAACTCACTCGGAGGTTCTACAGATTGTCAGCCCCTGACCGCCACACAGCCACCTCCTACCCCACCAACTCTATGTATGACGCTGTCTACTGGCGCTTTAGACAGAATCTACGCACTAGGTTAGAAAATCGAGTTTTTGAATCACCCAAGTTTCAGGTTCTAGGTTTTTGGGGGAAGGTGATAGATAACAGTGGTCATTGTCTGTTAAGGTCACTTCATGGGGACTGTCTCAGTTAGGGTCTCTACTGCTGTGATGAGACACCATGACCAACAGTAAGTTGGGGATGAAAGGGTTTATTTGACTTCAGCTTCCATACCCATCTGTAACATGAGGGGGGGCCTGTTGTTGGTGTATCTGTCCCGCCTGGCACCCCAGAGCCAGCATACCCCAAAGAAAATCACACAGAGGACTCCATAAGATTATAAACTGATTGGCCCATTAGCTCAGGCTTCTTGTTAACTAATTCTTGCATCTTACAGTAACCCATAATTCTTGTCTGTGTTAGCCATATGGCTTGGTACCTTTTTCAGCTGTCAGCTCACATGTTGCTTCTTCGGTGATCTGGGCAGGAATGCAGTGGGAGCTTCCTGCTTCCTAGAATACTTCCATTCTCTTTGCTCCACCTCTACTTCCTGTCTGGTTTTCCCACCTATACTTCCTGCCTGGCCAATCAGCATTTATTTAAAATATGATTGACAGAATACAGACAATTCTCCCACACCACCCATCACTGAAGGAAGTTGTGGCAGGAACCTGGAGGCAGGAGCTGATGCAGAGGCCATGGAGGGGTGCTGCTTACCGGCTTGCTCATCATGGCTTGCTAATCCTGTTTTCTTATGGAACCCAAGACCACCAGCCCAGGGATGGCACCGCCTACAGTGGACTGGGCACTCCCTTATCAATCACAAATTAAGAAAATGACCTACAGGCTTCCCTACAGCCCTGTCTTACAGAGATATTTTCTCAATGGAGGCTCCCTCCTCTCAGATGTCTTTAGCTTATGTTAAGTTGTCATAAAACTAGGGACACTTTGGAAACAAGATAATAAGTTAAAAACTGAAGATTTAAAGGTCTAAGAGGAAGGGAGAGAGAGAGAGAGAGAGAGAGAGAGAGAGAGAGAGAGAGAGAGAAACAATTGTCAACTCCCGTATTTCTAGCAGGTCTTTATTGTGTTTGTGTTCAAGCACAGGTCTTCACTGTTTGTTCCAGTGCTAGAGATACTGTGGCAGGATGTTCCCTGGGTTCTAACAGCCTCATGCACGTTGCTGGAGCAAGTATTTGCAGACATGGCTGGAGTCATGGCAGGAGACGCTGGAGACTAGCAGGAAGAGGAAAGAGCGACACATCTAAGCCTAGCGCAGTGAAGGGAACTGGCCGAGTTTAGCTGTCAGAACAGCGCTCCAGAGTGCGGCTCTGGCTGTGGATAGATGAGGAATGCCGCCTCCGCCAAATCTTGGTCTGCTGGGGAAGAATCTGCGGTAATAAATACCTACAGTGAATCGTTGAATCCCACTGGAAGCTGAACAATGGGAGAGTCCTGAGACAGAGGGTGGAACGACCTGGGGGCAGAAGGCAAGGGAGAACCTTCCAGCACAGTGAGGAGAACTAAGTCAAGAGACACAGAGAGCAGAGGAATGTGGGAGCAAAGCCAGTTTCCTGCCTGGGTTACGGGATGTCTTAGGTCTCCAGAGCGTGAAGTCTCTATGTGGTCAGCGTGTGAAGTTCTCACTGGAGGAGGGAGGACCCATGACAGAATCTGGAGGAATTCAAAACCATCTGGTTTTTCGGAGGCACTCTAGTTCTGGGGACCTCAGGGGTCCAGGCAGGACAGCATCTTCCTTGGCCCTTTGATCTTGGCTGTGATGGTGTCATATCTGGATTTCTTCGAGCTAAAGTTCTCTATCGTCACCGTGGCTCCAGCAGGGAAAGCCGAATAATAGAGGAGCAGGATTTTTTAAGAATAAGAAAGCATCTACTCTCAAGATCTCCTAGGGATTTGCTCTAAACAATAGGAAGCTAATTTCAAAAACATACTTATTTATTCATTAAAGCGGATCTCCCGAGATCTGCCCCAAGCTTCTGGCTCACTTTATATTTCATGTACACTTGAAAGCAATAAAACGCAGCTTAAATTAGCCAGGCTGCAACTCTTTTCTTTCTTTCTTTTTCTTTTTTAAATTGCTTCCTGGCATTCTGCACAGTCAGTTTAATTAGCTGAGGTTTTCTTGACTACCTCTGTAAGACTATGGGGAGGGTGTGAGCCTAGGTACCAGGGGGTTGGGTTCTTCTTCCTGCTAGAGGTGAGGAGGAACTGAGAAAGGTCAGAGGTCAGGGGCCCTTTAAAGGTTGATTTCTGCTGCTGGGTGAGGGAAGTGGAATAGAAGAGTGGAAGGAACATTGACTTTGAAGCCTTTTCCCCTACCCAGATCCTTGACTCTCTTTGCTCATCCGCAAGGTGGAGACAGAATTGACTACTTCTTGGACTGGGGATTAAACCCAGCCAGAAAACCAAAAAGCTGCTAAAACAACAGAGTCCCGTCAAGAATAGTTACTTTTTCTTTCTCTAAGTGAGAGGCACAGGGTTCTGGGAGGACATTAGGCAATCTGGAAAGGGCCCCGTTTCAACAGAGGACTCATTGGTTTCCTGGTGTATTTGTAACAAAGAACAAGAGATTGGGTGGCCTAGAAACAAAAGCATGTGTCACAGCTCTGGAGACAAGAAGCCTGACAGGAGGGTGGTGGCAAAGCCCTGAGGGAGGATCTTCCCTGTACTTCAGCTTCTGGGAGTCTCAGGGGTTCCTGAAATAGGAGAGGATGATAATGTCACGTGTCCTCATAACATCTTTCCTGCACCGTGCTCCTCGGTTTCTTGTGTGTGTGTGTGTGTGTGTGTGTGTGTGTGTGTGTGTGTGTGCGCGCGCGCGAAGAGACATGGTGCCCGAAGAGACCAGAAGAGGACATTGGATCCTCTGGAACCTTTCTTACAGGCAGTAAGAAGCCACCAATGTGAAGCTAGAAACTGAACTCAGGTCCTCTTCAAGAGCAGCAAGCGCTGTTTACCACTGGGCCACCTCTCCAGTCCTCGAAATTTCATCTTTTATAAGAACATGGGTTATGTTGCACTAGAGCCCACTCTAACTTTTATTAATCTTAGATCACGAAGTGTATGTATGTACTTGTGTGTGGAAACACAGGCACACACATGCTATGGTGTGCATGCGGTGGTCAGAGGACAACTTTTGGCTGTTGGTTCGTGCCTTCCACCTTTGATGTTTCCATCATGTGTTCTAGGCTGGCCGACCCACAAACTTCCAGACAGGGGATTCTCTGGTCGTCACTTCCCATCTCTACAGGGATGCTAGGATTACAGATGCTTGTGATCAAATATCGTTGTCGTCATCTTCTCCTCTTCCTTTTTACACATGGCTCCCAGGAATCAAACTCAAGTCTTCAGGGGTGTGTAGTTAGTTTTTTGTTTTCTTTCTTTCTTTCTTTTTTTAATCCGCTGAGCCATTTTCCTGGTCCCAAACTATGAAATTTCAGTTTGTTAGATTCCTGTGAGTTTCTGAGAGTTTCTGTCATTTCTCAAGAAATGAACAAAATTGTCAGTGTTTGGGTCAAAGTTAAATAAATTTTATGAGGAGTAATTGGTTTGGACTGAGCTTCTGTATGAGGCCCCAACAGACCAAAACATAGGTTCTTGAACTGAAGTTCAGTCGTCAAACTGAAACTAAGCTATTGTGCTAAGTTTCCCAGAGAAACCAAGAGAGAGATAGGCACATCCCCAAACTGGCTGGCATTGCTGGCCTGAGGAGGAAGAGGTTCTCAGTGCTTGGGCTTCCGAGGAAGAGTCACCTTCTGCAGGATACTGTTTCCGTTCAGCTGCTCCAGCTATTCTTAGGGAGGAGGGTAACAGACTCAGGAATCACAAGAAAAAAAAAGGGATCACTTTTTCTTGTGATTTTTTTTTCAATTAGGTCATTTAACTGAACTTGTTGAAATGTTATCGTGTAACAGAAGACATGTACATTTCAAGGAAAGGAATCACAGTTTTCATTAGCATTTTTGTTGTTGGTTGTTTTGCTTTAAGAGGGATTGTGTTTCTACATAGGAGAAGAATCTTTTCCAGAGAGAAATACCAATAAGGACTGGAGATGTAGCTCAGTGCATGCGTGCCATGCACACACAGGACCCTGGGTTTAGCCCTAGGAACCCCCCAGCAGCACCCTCTCCCCAGCACCAGCAAGTGTGGGAAACAAACTTCAGACTTCAGACAGAGCCAGGGGCTGGTTTCTGAGTTTCCTCTTTTCTTTCCAGTGGAGTTTTCGCAGTATGCAAATAGAAGGCTCGGAAGCTAAAGGCCTGCTTATTTTGCAAGGCTTGTTCTTTTGTGCCTGTGAATCACATCGGGTACTTAACCAATGTTGCTAAGTCTTTCCCAGGAGGCTAATTGATTAAGGGACTCTTTCCAACATTTCTGTTTGGGACACTAAGGAAGCCCGTCTAAAAGCAAGAGAACTGACAGCCCTTTCTCAGACATTGCTTCCTTCCTGGTTATAATTCCCCACACCAAGTTTACCAATTGGCTTATTTGCCTTGGGCTGACTTTGTTCTAGGCCTGACCAATCAATCCCACGAGTAGCGGATCTTGGCTCACAGAAGATGTGTGAGTGGGAAGTGGAGCCCTAACTTTCATAGAAGGTACAGAAGGGAAAGACATTTTCCCTCTTTCCTCTGGCATCAAGATGAAGGCACGTGTCTTGCCCTGGACTGTCAGACCCTTGCACCAGGGACATCCCCCCCCCCAATGTGTGCAGCAGAGACAGATAAAGGGTGAGCATCCCTTAGGAGTGGTGGCAGGCGTTTGGCAAAGGCTGCTGTATGGCTTTTGCGGTGGGAGCCGTGTGTGTTGGGAGTAGTGTTGAGAAGTGAGTCCTGGATCTCTGTTATTTTTAAGTCTTTCTGTCATTATTATCAGTAGCTTGGCCTCCTGCCAACAGATGCCTATCTGCACAGTTTAACTCAATTTAGTTTCTGTTGCTGGTAACTGGGAATCCTGAATGGTATAGGAAAAGAAAAAAGCTGGTCTTTCAAAGCTCTTGAATCCCCCTTACAATAGAACATGGTTGCAGATGGAGCCCCTGGCCCTTGGGATGTCTCCTGAGATTGTTAATCCCACGGGTTCACTTGCGCTGAGTTCGGGGTGTCTTGCTATTTTGTTGAGTGTTCCTCATGGTGTTTCTACGAAGAGCTGAGAACAGCCCCTGCAGGTTTGGTTGCCTTTTGCTTCCGTCAGTTTCTGCTGCTGTAATCAAACACTGCAGGCTGGGTGTCTTGTAAGTAGAAGCTGATTACTTACAATTATGGAAGTTGAAGTCTGAGATCAGGAACCACCGAGATCAGGAACCAGCGTGATTGACTTCCAGGCTGTGGGCTTCAAGGTTCCCCTGTCCTCCCACAGCATAAAGAAGAGGCAGTGCTCTCTGAATACTTCCCCAGGACACTGATCATGCTTGTGAGAACTCTGTCTACATGACCCAACTACCCCTCAAAGCCCTACCTCCAGATACTATGATCCCAGGTGCTACAATTCCAAGACGTTGATTTGAAGGATATACACATTCAGTTCTTCACAATTTACATGAGGGGGCCATAGTCATCAAGTTGAAGGCCAATTGAACCCAAAAGCTGACCTTCCTGTACAATTAAACTTGGCAATCATACTCAGCCTGGAGTGAGACCTAGATCTCACCAGCTCACTTGCTCATTCTTGAGAGCTTGGGACTTGACGGACTTCAGAGTCCTCCAAACCACTTGCCCATAAGGAGTCTCTGTGTATCTCTGTCTCTCATAGCATCTCTCTTGCTGGTTTTGTCTCTCCAGAGGTTCCTACCACGACCCTGCATTGGACCCTCCTGTTAAGCTTGTTTGTCACTTAGCATGGGGAATCTCTCTAGGGCCCGTCTAGGGGGATCCCCTGGAGGACAGTATGAGAATCCAGACTGGCATCTTCCTGCTGGGAGCTAGGACGGGAGGGAGGGAAGAGGGGGGAGAGCCTGGCTTTCTGGCCAAGTTTGTTTTCTCTTTTACCGGAGGTAACACCAGGATAAGATATTAGCAGTGAGGATCTTTCTAGCACTCTGCTTCCTCGGAAGTGTCTATACTTGGCTTGAATTCTGTTGTACTCTTCTTTGTTTGTGACAACCTGACCATTTCAATCCGAGGGAATGAGATGTGGGGCCTTGGGAAAATGGTTTCCATCTATTGCCTCAAGAGAAGGGCCTGTCTGTGGTCCCCTGGGCACTGTGGTCTTTTTGTCAACCGCCTTGGTGGCTTTCAGTCCTCAGCTCAATGCCCTATAGCCAGAAGTTCTCACTGAATGAAACTGGATAAACAGAGTCATAAAGACTTGGAGGGAATTTGTGGGGGTTGGAGTGGCAAATAAAAACACATTTAAAGGGAAATCCGGCCTCTAAACTGACATTTCCAATTCCAAAGTTCCTGAAACTTAACAATGTCATTCTAGGGACAAAGTAGCAAACTCATTGTTTACTGTTTGAGTTATTAAAACTTACCGAAACTGTTCCCTCAAGCAAAATCACCTCTGTTAGGATCTGTGTTCATAAAATAGTTTAGAAAGAGTCTACACTGTCACAAAGAGTGTTTCCGAAACCAGGAACGGGAAATTTGGTTTCTGGTGCCAGTCTACTGTTCAATAATTTATTTTGTGCTTATCTCTTAAACTTTTGGTGTCTCATTGTCTTGTTTATGTTTGACTTGGTTTTCTTCTAGAATGAAATAGCATCCACTATTGATTTTCCCCGCCACAGAGGTGAAGACGGCATGAAGAAATCCGGCTTCATCCATGGCTAGTAACCAGTACGCCGGGATCTGCGAAGCCCTGGGTCTCGTCATGGGCCCCTGGTGTTGGGTTTAAATGCTCAGGCTTGGACTTGCTTACCCTCCCTTGCTCAGCCCAGATATCCTCCCTCCACCTTGCGTCATTGGCCATCAGGGGAGGGGGAACCAGCAAGTTTTACTGTTGTCCTGACACCAGGTACTAAGATCTCAAGCCTTCGTTGACACCAAACACACTTCTCACCTCAAGGGGATAAGAGATAGTTTATTCTGGAGCTAAATACGACTGACCAGAGACCAGGAACTCAGATTCAGGCTGCCTCCAATACCGTGTTCCAATGCAGTAGCAGTTTTGCGAAGTTTTATATTGGAGAGCAAAATACAATCAAGCTCAAGGCATTTCCAAATACATCGGCAGAAACATACAGTAGGTGGATGACAGCAAACCCGGGAGATGGCTGCTGTGGGTTTCGGGCATTATCTGATCCCACCCCTAGCTCTTATGTCGATGGAAACCTGTCCGTGCATACCAGAGGATGTGCGTGATAGTCACGGGAGGCTTAGGTCAAACCGGTGAGTGGGCCATGAGCCACTATTAAAGGTAATTTGGCCCTAGATGTGCAACATTCCAACTCTCCAGGCTTACAAAGTTCTAGTCAGTCAACCTTGGAGACTCTTTCACACACATTTGGCCCACCTCTCATCCCCATGCCTGGACCTTCCATTCATACCCGGCTTCTGTAGAGCTTGCGGAAGGAGTTTGGTGTGTGAATAGCTATTTGCGTCAGCGTGTCTGTGGGTACAGAACAGCTGTAGGATCCCAGCGGCCATTTCACTTACATTTTCCCCATAAGGAGAACACAAATGTTTGAAGAGATAAATATACTACCCATGTTTTGAACGTTACACAGTGTATATGTCTTAGTTAGGGTTTCTATTGCTGTGATGCGACATGGCGACCATGGCAATTCTTATAAAGGAAAACATTTAACTGGGCTGGCTTATGCAGGTTCAGAGGTTTAGGCCATTATCATCATGGCGGGAAGCAGCATGGTGGCGTTCAGGTAGACATGATACTGGAGAGGTAGCTACATTTGGATCAGCAGGCAGCAAGAAGCCTCAAAGTTCACCCCTAGTGACACGCTTCTTTCAACAAGGTCACACCTACTCCAACCAGGTCACACCCCCTAATAGTGCGACTCCCTATGTGCTTATGAGGAGCCATTTTCTTTCAAAACACCACCGTATACATGCACTGCAATGTTATATATATATATAATTTTTAGCATTTGTACAACAGCTGTAAAAGAAATTTGGGGATGATATTGCTCATGACACACGAGAAACAAGAATTCCTTAACCACTACTTCTATTTGCTACCAACATGTCTAGACAGTATCTAACCTGGCCTGTATCCAGCATCTCCAAAATTATCTTTAATCTGTTCTCTGGAAGGGTTTGAACTAACTTTGGGACTCTGGTGGAAAAGAGCAACTCCTAGAGGGCTACATATTTACTTGAATTCTAGAAAAAAGAGTTTCCTTGTGTCTGTTTGCATCTCTGGAATACTCTGAAACGTAGACTGTTGTAGCATTTCTTCCTCAGATCAGCAGGAGTCTTGGAATTAAAATCCTGGGGCCAGACCAATGTCTTACCATCTTAGCTGGTCACATTGTCTTGGGCAGGTATTATTAGATTTTTCTGAGACTTGATATTCTTTCAAAGATGACTTTGTAAGTATGAGTGTTTTGACTGCATGTATGTATGTGTATCATGTGTGTACTTGCTGCCCTTAGAGGCCAGAAGGAAGCACCAGATCTCCTAGATCTGGAGTCACAGCAGGTTACAAGCTACACTGTGGGTATGGAGAACCAAACCCAGGTCCTCTGCAAGAGCAGCAAGCGCCTGTGAATTGCTGAGCCATTTCTCTAGCCTCATGATCTGATATCTTAAAATATTTCTTTTTATTACTTTTATTTAAGTGTATAAGTGTTTGTTTGTGTGTGGGTATGCGCATATGAGTTCAGGTGCCCGTGAAGTCCATAAGAGGGTGCCGGATTCCCTGGAGTTACTGGTGGTTGTAAGCTGACTGATGTGGGTGCTGGGGACTGAACCCAGGTCCTCTGCAAGACCAGCATCTACTCTCCTAACTGTCAAGCCATCTCACCAGCGTGGGGACTTGATATCTTCATAGGCAGTCCTTCATAGATATCCTTCATAGGGATAGAGGATTTACTGAGCAGTGTTTATAAAGGCCGGCTGCCCTGTGGGTGCTGTCTGTCGATAAAGGCCGGCTGCCCTGTCCGGCACATAATAGCGTGTGCTGTCTGTTGGACGCTTTTTCCTTCGAGGAACTTTGAGATACCACCAAAGACGAGGGCAGGGTGTGTCAGGAAGACTTTGGTCTATGAGTAGAATTAAACATGTCCATAGTTTGTTTCAGGGGAATATACCAGACTACTCGAGGCTGGGGAATCTATGCAGACTAGAAATTTGTTTCTTATGTTTCTGGAGAAGGCCCACAAGGCTGAGATCAAGGTGTAGATGTTTTCACCATCTGGTGGTGGTCTGAGCTCTGTTTCCAAGATGTCCCCCTGAATGCTTTGTTCTGTGGAGAAGGAGCAGCAGTTCACACATGATTGTAGGTAGAAGAGGGAGAAAAGGGGAACTCCTTCAATCGAGTCATTTTGTACACAGAATCCTGTTCCTGATTGTCCAGAGCTGCACCTTCCAGGGTTACTACAGTGGGGACACAGCTCCAGCACGAATTATGAAGGGAAAAGAAACGGCACTTCATTTGCCGCATGTGAATCTACGTCCTGAGAACATGGGACCTTAGTTACAAAATGGGAATAGCGACAAAGGCCAAGACAAACTAAGAAAAAGTGAAATGTGGACCACGATCCATGTTGGCCATGTTTCCAGAAGTCCTCTCTTGGTTTGCTGTTTGTTTTTAAAGCTAACTTTCCATGCTGAGAGCTAGTAGTTGGGACCTACCTGCTCTTTAGTTTCTCTGTTCTAGGCCTCTCTGACCTGGCTGAGTTACACATCACTTTCTTAACTCTGCTTCCAAATGGAGGAGCAAGGGATTTATCTTGTTTTCCTGGAAAATGAATGCCACATGCTTGGGGGTTTTGTACATAAGTCTGGTACATCTGACATGCTGCTGTTGACAGATGTGAATCAAATGTCAAATCCTCAATGCTCTGTTCATCACTTTATTTAATAAAAAAAAAGCTGGGCAGATCATATTTGGTGAATTAAACCTATGCAAATTATTTTCCTATGCAAATAATATTTTTTTGCATATTTATTATTTATTATTTATTATTTATTTATCATTTTTAAATGAATGCCACTCTTTCCTTGATGTTTGACTTGGACGACAACTCTCAAACATACCAATCCTAAAATAAATTAATTACTTTCTCAGGGCAGGTTTAAAAAAATAGAAGAACTAAAGAGGAAATAAAATGAGCCATGGAAGCGAGCCTTCCTAAATCTGGTTTATGCTTCTCAAGCCATGAATCTCAAACCTGAGCAGGGACGCTTGAGTTTGGTGGCATTTGAGGGGGTCAGATCAAACAACATAGTTCTCTTTTCTGGAACTGGTTTATTTCAAATACACAGTTTCAAATTTCTTCTGGGTAAAAAGCAGGGAAAAATAAAACAGCCTTATATACATGTGGAAAAATGTCACAATGGACTCTCTCATGCATGATTAATATATACTAATAAATAAAACAAAAAAAGCAGGGAAGGAAAAAAAAAGTAAAGAAGCTGCAACAGCCTCCATCCTACCCCACAGAGCAGAGCGAAGGCCTCAGAAGGTCACATTGACACCCACAGGCCCTTCAAGGTGGAGCTGCCCAGACCCTTGCGTGACACAGCATCCCTGTGACAGGCACATGTGATCATCAGGCCAGCACCGTGCCTCCTTTGCCAATCATCGAGCTCACCTGACAGAAGGCGGAAGACAAAACCATGATGGTGATCACAAAGTTTGATTTGGGGGAAGGTGACAAGGGCAAGCTGGTGGCAGTGCTGTGGTCTGTGGGGTGTTAGATGAGCCCCCTCCTGAAGCCTACTGGGTGTTATTATAAAGGTGACGTCAACACAACTGGCCTGTCCCAAATACACTGTACTTTTGCCAGTGGGAAGGTGATGTAACCATGGCAGAGATGGACATACTAGGGTAAAGTTTAACAAGCCCTCCAGGAGCTAAGATTTCCCATTGCCGGTCAAAGCGAGTGTCTAGACCTTTTAGGGGGAAACTTGCTCTAGGCTGTCTTTCAGAAGCTCGCTGTAATTTAGTAACTACACCCAGACTGTAACTTTCAAAGTCAATGCATTTGTCCGGAGCTGATCGAACGATAAGGTTGTTAAGATGTCATTGGAAAAAACCTGTAAAAGTAAGCTGGAGCCAGTGCAAGGAAGAAGTGAGTCTCTGGAACTTTCTGGTTAAGTGCTGCCTGTTACAAAGTCACTTGGAGTCACCTGACTTGTTTTTCCACCGTGGACACCATTCTCTGCATACACGGGACACACCACCACCCATTTCTTCCCCCTAATGCTCTTTTATTTTTTCTTAGAGTTGACATTTTGAAGCTGCCTCACTAAATCTCCGCCCATGAAGAAAAGTTTATATGCATTCTCTTATTTAACCATTACAGCTACCGAGACTTGGGTACTGTGATTAACTCCATTTTAAAGACAAAGATGGCGGGGGTGATGGTATGGGGTGGGGGAGGCTGGAAAGATGGCTCAGTAGTAAAGAGTGAGTACTCCTTTGGCAGAGGACCTGAATTTGTTCCCAGCACCCATGCAAGCTGGCTCACAACCCTCCTAAAACAGCAGCTCCAGGAGGATCTGGTGCCCTCTCTAGATTTCACAGGTACTGCAGACACATGTGCACAGCCTACCCCCTACACCCCAGCACGTACACACAATTTAAAATAATTATTTAAAGACAAGGGAATCATATTCTCACACCTTCATTCACACATACCCTCATTCACACACACTCACACATTCACACACACACCCACATTGACACACACATACACACCAAACACACACACACACAAAATCCACTCCCACCCACATTTACACACACACACATTCACACACACACAATACACCCATACACAGAGAAAATAAGTAAATAAAACTGTAGTAAAAATTTTAATTAAAAAGATTAAATAAATGGAGAGCATTTTCCCATGTCATTAAATATTTTTGTGCAGCATGAAGTTGTTAATGTATTATCCCATTTCATGAGTATATTAGTTGATTGACATAGTTTTCCATTGCTCAACTATTAAGTGGTTTGCCTCCTCCACACACTTGGTATTATAGATGTGTAAACTTCTATACACACCCATAAATCTGTCTTTAGATTAGATTCCTGGAAATGAAACCATGGGGCAAAGGCAGGCTTATACTTGACATCTTGGTTCCATGTTTTTTGAAATGTCTCCGACCATCGACAACAGATGCTTTCTGTCCCATCTGATAAATAGTCCTGGGCCCTACTTGCACTACCAAGAAATCATTGAGAACATATTTGCCAGGTACTAGAACTTTCCTGCTGAAGGCCAGTCCCAGAGCCCTTCCTGAAGGCCTTTGAAAATGTTTCACGGCTGCTTGATTTGTTTCTCTGCCTACTCCTATAGCATTTAGGTCGTAAATGCTATAGGGTATACTTTGGCTTTAATCTAGAACCTTCTTCACAGAAAAGGCAAATCTAGCAGCCAACTACCTGACGAGACTCTTTTCTATAATGTAATAAGAGATCAGGAAAGAATGCTTTTAAAGTTGGAAGACTGTGTTTGCAAGAAACTTCAACGAAATATGAGGAAATATGATGAATATAAAGATATCATTAAATAAGATGGGCAAGGCCCTTACAGAGACAAGTCTCTACCCTGTCTGCTTGCCCCTTCTGCTGGCGTTTTTTCAGGAGAAACTTAGCTTGCGATACACGGAGAACTGGAAGAACTATCTATGGACTTTAGTCTTGTAGATTAGAGATTGGGTTTTAGATCCAATGCTGGTTAGCTGTGTAGAAGGGGTCAGACAACTTACTGGCTGCATGGCTGAGCAAGTGTGATGGAGTATGATAGATGCCGTGAGTAAGGTAGCAGAACTTATCTCAGAGACGAGTGTCGAGCAAATGAATAGCCGTGGTCTGCCCAGCACAAAGCAGGGCTCTTTGCAGGGATTAGAGAAATGCTGACTGCATAGGGTGAACTGGTGTACAATTCGTCTTTACAGCGCTCATCCAAACAGCCAGTAAAATCCCACTATATTGTTCTGTGATTGCACGCTCTGTAACTCAGGCATCGTTCATCAGGCCTTAGGGCGCATGCCCAGCAAATTTTGTCAACCGACTAAGTAAATCTCAAACTCCAACATCCACCATGGGAAGTACAGAATTTTTGTCACTTGTTCTAGAACTCAAAGGTAAACTTGAAGACTTCACTGATGGCCAATTATTCAGCATCTAGATAAAGATGACATAGCATTAAGAGGACTCAGGTTCAAATCCCAGCACCCACATGGTGGCTCATTGCTGTCTATAACCCAGTGACAGCGACATCTGGCTTCTCCAGACACCAGGCACAAACGTGGTGCACAGATAGATATACCTGCAGGCAAAGCACCCATGCACACTAACTAATAAAATAATTGGTTTAATCCGAAGGAGAGACATGTTCGCTGAGCCGTTCATTTGTGATTAAGTATCCCAGAGTGGGGAGCACACCGTGTATGGACTCCGACAGAGTAGGGTTTCGACCTCGGCGTTTCCCACTGGGTCATCTCAGGAATGTTTGAGGATCTTTGTAAGTCCCGTGTCCTCATCTAACTAACAGGCTTAATATGTAATACTATGTATTATTAAATGTATACGTATAACTAACAGGTCTAAGAGTAGCTAGTATCTTACACAGATCTAAGAATGCAGCGCTCTGAGGCACTCAGAGGGCAGGATGGGTAGTAAAGAGCAGAGTGCCCTGTATGTGCTCTGAGCATCCTAAGAGACAGTTAGCAACCAGGTTGGGAGGGGGGTATCACTCTATGCTCTCTTCCCTTCCCTGCATAGCCTTCCACCAGATCAGCATCCCAGTCTGCCGGACACGGCAGTGTACGCCGCCTGTAACTCCAGCACTGACGAGGCAGAGGGGTAGGCGGATCTCTATGGTCCACGGAGAGAGTTACAGGTCAAGCAGGGCTACACAGTGAGCCTCCCCCCACCCCCCCGCCATGGCAAGCCCACAAAGGAGCTGTGCATCTGTTAGAACTGGTGAGCTCACGTCAGCATTTGGACGGTGTCACTGCTGAAGTGTTACTATGGGAAGGAGTGGAGCCAGGTGTTCTATGAAATCTCCTCCCCTACCAAAAAAAAATTCCATAACATGACCTCTGCACTCCAGAAGATTGTAGGTTTTCTAGAAAGATAAAGCAAGCAAACACGATAATCCAAGGAAACCTGATAATCCCAGACAGTCCTTGGGTAAGTGATGATTAATCAGAGGGACAGGGAGATGTGAAGCTCTGGGCAGTAGATCTTTATGCCTCTCTCCTGGTTCCCTTCTGGATCAGTCTCTGAAGGCTGCCCAATCTTTCTTTATTGCCTTCTTCTTCTTTTCCTCTCTTTCTTTTGACTCCTTTCCATTTGCGGGGTCCTTGGATTCCCCAACTCAGCCTGCTTTGGGGCTGAGGGTCTGGGGAGCCAGTGGTGAGTGCTCCTGCCGCTGGGGCTTCATTGTTCCACACCACCTTGCTCTCCCAAACCTACCTTTTTGTCTGCAAGGTCCTTGGAGCTCAGCAAGAGGCCCTGCTCCTGTACTGAGGAGATTCATCTGGAGTGGTGAGTGTGTGGCTGCCCAGCCAGCCAGTCCCGGGAACAAAACACAGGCCCCCTCCAATTCCCTGAACATTTCTGGCCATCCAGCGGCTACTGCCTTTCTTTATTTACCCCATCTTGCCCCCAAGCACTCCTTTCCATCTGCGGAGTCCTTAGATCCCCCAACTCAGCCTGCTTCGGGGCTGAGGGTCTGGGGAGCCAGTGGTGAGTGCTTCTCTCTCTCTCTCTCTCTTTCTCTCTCTCTCTCTTTTTCTTTCTTTCTTTATATGTGTATATATACATACATATACATATGTATATATATACAATACTGTTTTTTTAATGAATAACCCCCAA